AGGGGATGAGAAAAGAAGGGTGGAAAGAGCCCGCAGAATTTCCGAATAAACCCGCAGGTTAATAGCAAATATGCTCACAAATATCAACTAACTTCCTTCTCATCTTCATCTCATTTTTATAGGCAAAGAAGGGGAAAGCCAAGATCCACATGACTTTAATTTCCATTAGAACCGAAGCATTATAAGCATATATATCTTCCCAATCCATTCGGAAATCAATCCAAACACAGGAACTGAAACAACAATTACGGGAACCAAGCCTCACGCATGGAGCCAAGGAGTCACGGACTCGGGAAGAGTCCCAGGTGCGGAAAACAACAAATGCCTGGAATTCCAAGAGGTAAAGCATGGAAAAACAGCACCTCATATAGCTTTTTATGCATAGAATTCAACCATCATTAAAGAGAAAGCCACGGTTTTCCAAGAGGCAAGAAGAAAGGGGAAGGGGAAGGGACAAGGCCACTCCAAAAGTAGTTCTTCTTAATGAGGTACCTTTTTGGATATTAATGAGCTACTAAACTTCAGCTCAACAACTTAAGAGAATGAGCTCAATGCCATAAGCTCCAAGCAACCAACCCGTGAACCATCAGTGGCCAAGGACCAATCAAGCCAGCAAACCAAAGGTCTACCAAGCCTTATGCACAATCTACCATGATCATTGGATGCTTTCCCATCATTGGATAGCTAAAAAAAGAAAAGAAAATAAAATAGAAAACAAAATATACTATTGTTCAAATAAAATAAAAAGTACATAAATTCTTGATAACATCATTTAACCTACCCCTAAGTAAACAAGGAAGCTCACCAAGATGGATGGGCAAAGCTGCATAAGTCTGATTAGGTTTAGATTGCCTTGCAGAGGAGCACTACAATCTACACAGGGGCAACATAAGAGACCTCTCTCCACCTTTTCTCTCTTATCTCCACTCCATGCATGATTGGCCAAAAATTCTTTATTATTTGATAATAAAAAAATAGAATCATAGATGATCACTCCGAATCATAGATGATCATTCCTTTTGGAATATTTCATCCTTATTTTTATAATAAAATAAAATTGGACGACTGAGGATTAAATGATGAATTTTTTGTAGAGGCAAAGTATCTTTGGGAAGGAATTGAGCTTGATGATAGAAAGATTTGCATCACCAATGCCACAAAATCCCATCATGATTGATGGAGTTGACTAACTAAGTAGGAAGGCTGTGGAGGCCATTGTGGAGGAGACTTATTTTCATACCATTATTAAAGGCATAAAGTGGGGCATATACCTTCAATGCTATAAGAGGCATGCATACCTCAGGTCATGGTATAACTCTTCGTCACGAAGAAATGCCTCTTACTTTTCAATTAGATTCATATATAGTCTTCATCGATGGAACTGGCCACAACATCTTGTTTTCTTCTTGAATTTTAACATCAATCAAAGTCATCATGCTGATTGTAGTCGAGATCACCATGGTGATAGTGATCATTGTGAAAATGCTTATGTTCCTTCGCTTTTTTGGGCTAAAGATGCTGAAAATAGAAAGCCTTTAAAATCCATTTGTTTATGTTTGGATTGCTTGTTTTTTGCCTTGTAAGAAATGAATCTTAAAGAAATTTGAGTGTTATAGTTGAATTTTATTGTAAACATTCATTTTGTCATAATGAATATTGTACTAGTGCTTCTATTGTCTTGTTTGTGTATTTAAGCTTTTAAATGTCCACTTAGGGATTTTCAGTTTATCCGGTGAATTATTGTCTAGGACCTTGATTAAATGGTCGAACTAATTCAATTAATATAAATGTTGATTCTTAGATTTTTTTTTTTATATTGCCTAGTCGATATTGGGGCGGATGATGATTTTGTTTGGAGGAATAAATCATTGTTTTAGTCTTCAATTTTAATTGGGTTATAATCTTGTTGAGTTTTGCTTTTTTTGTGCACTTTGTAGCTATGAGCTGCTTCATCTTGGCTATTATTGGGTTCAGCTCCATGTATGTTAGCTTCTTCCCTTGACAAAGCATCCATCCCTATCATTCTTTGCTTTTTTTAAGTCAAAGAAAGAGAAAAAATGCAAGGAGAAAGTGAGGAGACAACTTTCCTTATTATTTCAAATATCAAAATCCATGGAGGAGTGTGTTGGCACCTCATTTTGGTGAATTGTAGTTGTAACGTCATGTTAAAATGTGACAGGCAAATGCTGAACTATCAGTTAGTTTCTTATTTTATGTGTAAAGGGGATGAAGTAGAGGGGTGTGTGATAGCCTTTCTTTGTCAACTTAATTAGTTTCCATAAGATCCCTGGGTACTCTCTACTTTGCACCTCCCTTAAGAATAATTCACTTCTTTATTTTTGCTAGCGGAGTTATATTTCTTTGTTAATCACTTTTGTGTAGGTCTCACTATTTCATTATTGGTGTCGATGGACGATGCTCTTGGGCATCTTTTGCCGATGTTGCCTCAACTCATGCTACATGCCATAATAGTCCTTGCATTCACCACCTTTTTTGTCTGTCAAATTTACTTACTCAATACATCTCTTCCTCAATTTATCTCAACTCCAATAAAATTAGACTTAGTTATGGATCTTAGCCAATCGACACATCAACTACTCACGATGAAGGACCTCCACTTTTCTGCTAAATTATTAGTAGGAAAGGTATTCTTTAGGGGTGTCAATAAATGACCAGACTCGCCAACCCAACCTGAAAAAATCCAAGTTCATGTTGACCCATTTATTAAATGGGTTGGATTTAGATTGACCTGCGAATTTATTTTTAATCCGAAAATAACCCATTTAATATATTTTTTTTCGTACTTGTGGGTATAATCTTTTTATTTTTGATCAAATATCCTAAACTTTATAGTTATTAGGTTAAACTTTTTTAAAAATCAAGATAGGTTAATTGATGTGATACGTTGCAAGAATTGCTTGTTAGAAATTAATACTTGTGAACTTGCGTTGCTAATTTTAAACAAATGCTTTTCAAGATAGATCGCAAGAAATTTTCATGAACGAACTAAGCAACGTCAATCAATTACATTTAAAAGCAACATGAAACAAACAAAATTAATCCAATAAGTAATAATGCAAATGGCTCTTAACAAAAATCAAAGGCTTAAGATATAGATCCTTCACCTCGAAGTCCCTCACTTTCACTCTTGGATTCACTTGGTTAGCGGAAGAGGATGGCGCACAAACTCAATGATGCCACTATTAGACAAGTAATGTCGAGGGGGCTAGCCGCCGGGGAGGAAGTCAGATTTGGAGAAGAAGGTGTTCGGCTGTTGATGATCCACTCGTCCGCCGGAAGGTGCTCGTCGAGGATGTCCACAAGGTGGGGAAGAATCTGATTCAAGTAATCCTCAACGGTGTGGTCGAAGCCGAATCCAACGTCAAAGAACGGCGATCGGATGACGTCAATGTTGCCTTGATGATTGTATGCAATGCCGTAATCACGCTCCGGATCGGCCATTCATGACTATGAGATGTCTTTGCGGTGTGGGTGTATTTGGCGGTAGGAGAATCTTCTCTTGGTGGAACTCGGCCAAGCAATGATGGGAGGAGAAAAGTGGAGGTGGCGGTTTGGAGAGAGGAGGGCTTAGCCGTGAGCTAGGGGGAGATGGAGGAATTTAGAAAACTGAAATTAATTTCAGCTTCAAGTGGTTTTGTTGGGAGATTAATTTGAAATTTCAAATTAATCCAATAATGACTAGGGGCATTAATTGTGGAGATAATTAGGGGCTGATTTGGTGGAGCTTTTAATGTAATTTGGGAGAGAGAAGAGCCCATTAAAGGGGCCGGCCATATGGGGGAGGGGAGAGAAGCTTAGGAGTTAAGTAAGTGGGGCCCAAGGTTAAGTAAATAAAAACCTAATCAAATCTGAAATTTAATTTCAGATTTGATTATATTTTAAGTAACTTCCCAAATAGGTTTAATAGGAGAAGGAAACAAAATTTGAATTTCAAAATAGGCTTTAATCATCTTAATTGACTTTCTTAATTGGAGAGAAGCTAATTAGGAAAGTGAATTAATCAAGAGAAATTTGAAAATCAAACAAGAGGGAGGATCCAAGGGGCCGGCGGCAAGGTTGGTGGCCTGGATCCGGCTGTCTGGAGCCGGCGGGACAACAACTGGCCGGGGAGACTGACGGAGCCGCCGGTGGCGGGATCGGCCTGGGTGACCGGTGGTGGGCTTATGAAGGCCGGTGGGGGAAATTTGGGGGGGGGAGAAGAAATTCGGCTAGGGAGAGAAGGGGAAGAGGGGTTTTGAGGATCGGGTAAATCCGGAGCAACCAAACCTCAGGCACCTTCTCCAATGGAACTCATAAAGAGATCCACAATACTATCTCCTCAAGAACTCACAAAGAGATCTTGGAAAATTTCATGAACTCACAAAGATATCAGCAAGAGAAAGAAATTTTCATTCATCGATAATCATCCTCATACAATGCATGAGGCCTCCTATAAATAGGCCAAAATGAAACTAGAACTAAAAGACATAAATGCCCTCGGGGCTACCATATCAAATGACCATCCATAAGGGTAAAACAGTAAAACTGAAAAATAAAATAAACTACTACATAAAATGACTCAAAATATAAACTCCTGATCGTGGCCGTCGATCTCCGGTGGTACACGTGTTGAAATCACAAACGATGCCGTCATCATTAATGAGTTGGGTTCGGGTTGGTATTTTTGACTCATTTATTAAATGGGTCGGATTTGATTTCAAGTTGGATCAATTTTGGGTCAGACTTGAATCCGATCCGTCAACCCTTTTTGACACCTCTATTATTTCTTCGTCACTCAAGAAATAGATGGGAGATGCTTATTTAACACAATTATTTGCCAAAATTGATGGAACTGGGCATGCTCGATGCCAAGGTGATGAAGGTCATGCCGACTCAAGGAATGATTTGTAGATTAAGGTTTTGATTCCCCTATGTGCCCCATTTATTACCTTTTAGGTTTTTTTTATAGATTGTCTTCAAATGTTTAATTTAGGATCATGCATGAAATTAAATTTATAGTTGAAAATAGAAAAATAAGTATGATATTAGTTTCTTCCATTCTTTTCTTATTTAGGTCTCCTTGAAATTGACGAGGTTGCTAACCTTGCAAAGGATGTTGTTGAGGTTGGGGCTGATACCCCGCTTGAGTTTGCTCATGAGTGCATGTCAGTTGGGGGCCCAGGATGTAAGTATTGGCTCTGAAAAATTTGAGGCATCAATCTCAAGCAGTGATTTTTTACTCCAAGGACTATTATGCTTAAGTTGACATTCTTAGGGCCAAGGATGTTGGTTCCATTAAGCCTTTTAAGCCACTGCAAATGCCTTTGTCACAGATGAGTTTCTCTGGGAGGTAGGCCATCTAAGTTTGGTAATTGGTCGGGTTTCTTGTGTTGTCATTTCCTTTAATTGTTGTAGTAAGACTTTCTTTTGTTGTTATGCTCTTTAAATTTTTAGAATTTTTACAGTCTTCGACCCACAAAAGTTTCTAGTCCCTTAGCTCCTCCTAGGAGCCTTAAGTTTAATGTAGTGGTAGTCTCATGGTACTCAATCATTAGGAGTGATCACATTCTTTGAGGCTTTGCCTGATTTACCATTGAGTGTGGACTTTGCGATGAGGTCCAAGCTCGAATTGGAGGTTATATGATGTTACAAGACATAATTTTCTCAATTATTTTAGTATTTCAGGTTATTTCCAGGTTTTTTTTTTCAATTTTAATGTATTAAACTGTTAGGATTATCTTAATTTTAAATTATTCAATGAGAATTTTTAGGACTTATCCAAATTTAAGTTTAAATTAGTTTTAATTTAATTTTTAAACTCTATTTCTATAAATGGTGGTTGAATGAATGTTATTTTGATGATTAGTTAATGGATTCATCCCGAGTGAAATCCCCATTTCTTATATTCCCTCTCTTCTTTCTCCTATCTTTTCCCATGCCTCTCGCTCTTTTTGTTTTCGATAAATTCTCTAATTATTTGGTTCTTTTCCTCTTACCTAAATAGCTTAATTTTTTAGCTCATATTTTGTATCGATGCAATTTTTTATCCTTCATAATTTTTAATGAATCATGAGAAAAAACTATTTGCCCTTTCCTTCTTCACTCAAATTAAACCTCTTCTCTATTCTTACATCTAAAGGGATAAATCAATCAATTTCAAAGAGCAAAGAAAAATAAAATAAAAAAGGAGATCTATACCTAGGGTCCATCATCAAATTGACATCATGATCAATATTCATCTACTTCAAATTTGCATCAACTTTATCTTTCATTTGCATCATTTGATATCAAAGTGGAATTTCTTGAATGCATTTCTATCTAAATCTTAATTGTCCAATTTGTCCATCCTGCGTCATCTTGGACCACTATGAAATTTCTTAAAAAAAAAGGGGGAAAAAAAAACCTGGATTGTGATCAACTTTATCTTAAACCATATGAATTTCTTTGTCTATTATAATGCCATCTTTAATGCAGAGAAAATTGACCTGTGTAAGATACATAGATTATGCATGGAGATACATCATTAACACATAAACTTGCTTCATGCACTTATAAAATTCTACTCACTCACTCTGAAGTTTTTGTTACACATTTATTAACATGTTTCATCAAGCCAACAAACATCAAAATTTGGAACATAATTATGGATGCGATTCAGATAAGTGTAAAAAATCTATTCATTTTTTATGTCATAATAGGCCACGAAATCATATGTTATGTGAAGTTGCATCAAGAAAATTATGTCCTATGATGAATAGGTGCATATTATTGCTTGAATGTATTACATGGAACAAATAAGGGATCAAGCAATTATCATATACGAATCTTATGATTGTACATTTTATTGTAGTTCTTATTCTTATGGTAACTACAACGAGTCATATTATACTGAATCTTATGATTAAAATTAATCACATTATAACTATGACTATGAATCTAATCATTGTTAGTATTATATTTATCATAATTTATCTTCAAGGCATATCAAAGATGCTGCATCCTATTCTATGATGATTGAGTATCTTAAGAAGAATACAAATAGGATCATCTTAATATGGTGGCAAATCGTATCATATATCATTTTTTTACTTCAAATGTTCAAATTCATGTGTTAATTCCAGTGATTCAATACATATGATTCATGTTAAAAAAATAGATCCCTGTGCAGAGTTAGTCTATTAGAATTACTATTGTGATAGAGAAATTTGATGGCAATGATTAGTTCATCTTAATCAAGCTTCTTATTGAGCCAAACAATTAAGATTTTACTTTGAAACTGTTCTTTAACCTAAATTTGAGATCATGCCTTGAGCCTATTGTTTAGACTTAAATAACTTTTGCTATTGCTCTTATTGAGCTGAAGAAACAATTGATCCGCATATTTTGATATTCTTGCAATATTCTCTATAATGTATGCATGTTGTCACACATATCATCTTATGCTTTATCTCTAGAAGTATAGGTTGAGTTCATGCTACCATAATAACAACCAACAAGTAATAAAATTCTCTCCATGTTAATGATCAAATGTTGATGTATGATATATAGAGATTTTCAAATTTAAAGCTTTAATATTCTATTTCTTGTGTTCAAACCACAAGTGCTAGACATTCAATAGATGTTCATGAACTAATTCACAACCTTCTCCACTAACAAAAAAAAAAAAAAAAAAAAAACTAGATTTCTAGGAAAGGGCTTCTATATCTTTTTTTAGTATTATTAACCCTAGGAGAAGTTTTTTATCAATCATAGGATAATAATAAAAAATAAATAAAGCATGATTTATTATGATCAATCTTTCAAAATAAAATAAAAATATATCATATTTATGTCACATCAGAGTGAACTTGAGATTGCTGATGGTGAAGCTAGTGGTTTGGCATCCAATTCACTTGAGTGAGACAGAGGAGAGTGGAATTTCGTTTGTAGGGGTGAAATCCGTAGATCTACGAAGGAATGCCAAAAGCGAAGGCAGCTCTCTGGGTCCCTACCGACGCTGGGGTGCGAAAGCATGGGGAGCGAACAGGATTAGATACCCTGGCACGGCTTTGCGTACAACGACCTTGGGGAGATCGACATCCTTCTCTCTCCCCTTTTACGATCCTGATTGGGAGTACGACGAAACTGTGGAAAGATACGTCAAGCGCATCCTCTACTGCTTGGCCGAAACGATCGACCTCCAGAAACCCAAGACGCCTTGGCTTCTCATCGGAAGATCCACCCCTTCTTCGTTTGAACCACGGAGTCGCCTACAACGTCAAGGCGAGAGACAATTGAAGAACAAAGACCAAAGGGACATTGGCTCATCCTTGGCTGATCCTCGACAACTCCGGCTACTTCCCCTGCGGATAAGGCCTTACGCGTCACTTGTCTCGTGGTAACATCACTTGGTTTGCTTCTTCCCTTTCTCCGCTAAAACCTCTACCAATATGAGAGAAGGAACTAAAGGTGAAACATCTTGATTTTGTACTGTGGATTGTTGTTTCATCGCTATTGGCTTGTCTATTTACTTTAGTAATCACTTGCAAGAACTTTGTTAATCTTCGTGTAACCAATTACTTTTGCTTAATCTTTCGGTGCTGAATTCCCAAAATCATTTCTTGGTGAAGTATAAGTTTTCTACTAGCAAAGCGAAGCTCAAGTTATTATTAATTTCCGAAATCAATTCTTGTGCACATGCTTGTTTCACATCAGTAGTATCTTGAATTTTGTGTGTCCGATGTCATTCATCCAATTAGTGAACATTGTTAATATAACCCAATTAAAAGACCCTTGAATAATGTTTTTTAACATATTTCATCTGTCTCCCTTCATGATAATATTTCAATTGCTTTTTAAACCACTCCCCCTTATCAGCATTTATGCCATTTATGCCACATCTTGCATTCTATTGCTCTTTTTCGTTCTTTAGCCTATTTTAACAATTTTGTGCTTTAATTGTTTGCACCCACTTGGTATGTTCATGCCTCGAGGTGCCTAATAGTCAATATATTGGCTGGATTGCCATTTATTTTAAGTGAATGTGAGAATATAAAAGTGAGCCAACATCTTCACTACTATTTAGATTTTCTTATGTGTTGTATATGTTAGATTTTAAAAAAGGGAAAGATGGAAAACAAAATATATATATCAGTTATTCCATCCATCAGTCATTTCTATCAAAGTATTACTTCATTGACCTCTCATATTTTAAATATCTCCATCACCTCTGATTAGTTAGTTTCCCTGTTTTTCATGATAATGAAAAATAGAACTTTGTTCTATGTGGAAAATTTATTAACTTTTCCTTTGAAAATTGCATCGCCCGCTCGCTCTAAAAAAAAAAAAAAGACTTTCATTTTGTTGAAATAGAAGACAAAATTTTCAAAATTTAAATTACTTTCTCAATATTTTCTTTTCTTATAAGCTAGGAAACTTAATGTTAACCATTTCTTTATCCTCATTAATCCTTTATACCTCTTCTCCCCTAGGTTGATTATGATGACATTTTTGTCTTTTCTAATTTTTCCATAATTATTAATCTTAAATCCTTTTCCCCTCGATGCCAACCATAGCAACATGTTGATTGGTCACTTCTATATTCCACGTGCTCATATTAGCTTAATAATGAGCAGGTCATGGCTTCTAGCATGCGTGGAACCATATAGCCCTATTTCTATCATTTGTGGAACCATATAGCCCTATTAACAACATGTCGGGTCATAGCCTAATTTGATAAAAAAAATGATCTCAATTTTCACACATTTCAATATATATATATATATATATATATATATATATATACACACACACACACACACGCCTAGAGTTATTCATGCAACATTTCAATATTTGAGCTATGTTTATTTTATCTAATAATTATATTCATTATCTCCATTCATCTTTTCTCCCTTTCATTGCCTAAGACATTATTTTTTTCATCTTAATATCTTAACATATGAATCAAACAAAGATCCACCTTTCCACCTATTGCTTGCCCAATTTAATGAAATAAGGGAGCTTTTGGGTTAACCTGAACCATGATGTAAAAATCCAGCACAACAATGAACATGGATTGAGATAAGATTCAACTTGACACTGACTCTTTGTAAATCATAATTTGATTGGATAGTTATTTAGACCGAATCTAAGTTTAGATCCGCTCAATCTATTGATACGTTCAGAATCATGGATCTTGAAAATATTCTTCATAGTTTGTATAGCTATTGAACTCATACAGAAATGATTGTAGATAAGTAGAATTCCTCTTAGAACAATAAATCAGTGGCCTTAGACATTGGATCATGGAATCTTGGTAATATGTTATGCAATTCCCTTTCATACTCATGGATCCTTCTTAGAATTTTCATATATCTTCAAGGTCTTTCGAATTAGCTTTTTCATATAATCATTGTACGTGCTTAGTGTTTAGAAGGGCTTCCATTAAATTCATGTGGGATACTATAGTTTTGAGAAGGGCTTCCATTAAATTCACGTGGGATACTACAAAGCCAAGTAGGCACTAATAATAAGTTTGTATTATATCATGTGGCTATGATATTAGAGCAAAGCCATTATCTAGATATTTGTTTCAAGCATTGGAATTTGTAGGCTTGCATGATGAGCTCATGAGTTGCGAGGATTGGTGGGCCTAATAAAATGTGGATGGGTCTTATCGAGCTTGCAAGATCTCAAGCTCATTAGCAAATTCTCATGGAGCATAAATACAAGCCTCCTTTTCTTCTCTCTTTCCTTCTCATTTTCCCTTACAAACGAGCTAGTCAGAGCTAATGAAGGTATTAAGGTGTCACCTTTTAGCAATTGTGATAGGCTCAGGAAGGGAGATTGCTTAATGTCGAATCTGTGGTATTTGAGGTATGTAAACCCTAGCTTTTTTTAATGGGTTTTCTAAATTGATGCTTGGCTTCTCTTAACTCATCATGCATCAATGTATTGCCAATCTATGTTTAGATTATTCGTGAAAATACTTTTCTTTTATTTAATGGATATGAAAATAGGATGAAAATATGTTGAAATTTGTAAACAAAACTTTAATATTCCTAATGTAATTCGACTTATGCTATTACTTCTTATTCTAGTTTTTTTTTTTTGTGGGTTTTAAATTCTCTTAAATATTAGATTTAAATTTATTGGTGAGATAAATTCAAGTTGGATGTTTGAAGTGGAGAAATACATCAGACATGTGTGATAGAAGAGTACCCCTCAAAATTAAGGAAAATTTTTATAAGATGATGGTGAGACTTGCAATGTTTTATGATGCAGGAAGTTGGCCGTCAAATGAGAAGCATAAAATTAAGTTAGAAGAGATGAGGATGCTCAGGTGGATGAGTGACTTTACACTTACAGTCAGAATAAGAAATGAGTATATACGTGAAAAGGTTGGAGTAGCTCCAATTGTATAATAGATTAGAGAGAGTCGTCTTAGATGGTTTGGTCACATAAAATATTAGCCTTTCGGTGACCTGACTAGGAGAGTAGATGTATTATATTTGGCCTATATTAAGAAAAGGTATGGGTATACCTAAAAAGACTTGATTATAAAGTATCATAAATGACCTTTTTATTATAAATGAGAATTTGACTCTTAATTGAACACAATAAAGAAAAAAGATTCATGTAACTGACCGCACATAGTGGGTTAAAGGTTTGATGCTGTTGTTGTGAGTCATCCTTTTTTTTTAGTTCTACTTTATTTTAGTAATTCTTGTAATACGCTTTTTTTTGCCTTTTTATTAGCGATTTTTGCTTTAAAACCTTTCCCCCTTTAAGTTTATGTATATTAAGTCAATGCATATTAATGCTATATTGCTATCATCTGGCTTTTGTATTAGTTTTTTTAATTAAGGTGGTCAGTTACGATGCTATAATCATTAAATGAGAAAAATGCTTATATTTTGTTTTGTTCATAATGGTTTATTATGAATCTATCATCATCATTAGCTCTATTCAATTATCTTGGGCTGGCATTAAGAATCCTCATTATCTATTTGTTCTTGTGGAGTCATATCTAAGGTGTTTATTATATTCTTCATTAATCATTTTGAACAACTTCTAATCACCTTATCTTAAATTCTTCTTATTTTATTTCTTTATTTTTTTATATTCATTTTTTAAATTTTTGTATCTTTTGTTGTAAACTCTAAATCACACAAATAACAATGGCTTTAATAGATAACGACCATTTCTTCTAATATAAGTATTTTTTAAATTATGGTATTTAGTTTTGACATCATCCATCTTAATATTCTCATTTTTGTTACTCTTTATGTAGATATCAATAAAATTTTTAAAGCCCAATATTCTAATCCATGTACCATATTCAGCCTAATTACGATTTTATAAAATTTATCTTGTAAGCCTTCATGATATCCTCTTATTACACAAAACTCTCAAGACAATTCCCCATTTTAATCCTGTAGATATATCTTGATAAATTTTATATTTATCTATATATTTATTCTTCTACCTAATAAATCTAAGATACTTATGTCACACCTAGGTGCATCTAATATTCTAATAATATTGTATGATAATTGTTCTTGTTTTGCCCATTTAAATTACATATTATTTACCTAGTCTTTATTCTATTAATTCTAAGATTTCTAATATTCTAAAATTTTATTTTATTATCCTATTTTTTCACTACTTTCAATGGTTGCTTTATCAATTTGATTTATTTATTTATTTATTAAGATGAATTAGATTTATATCATATATACAAAGCATTGATCAAGGTGTCTTGTTTTGTAAATCATTTATAAACATCTCTTTATTATGTTGAGAACCCACAACATCATAGCACATCATATAACACAGTCATGCGAGCACAAAAAGCTCCTTAAATGGATGGACTTTTGCTCCAAATGACAACAATAAAAGTAAATCAAGTTCTTCTACTTGTTGTTTGTTTGTTTTTGAACTGTTAGTTAGATTTGCTGTTGGTTTGGCAATCATCAGTTCTAGAAAATGTGGATTGTCATAGGAGGGGGCTATGAGTGAACAAAAACTATAAATAAAGAAGAGAACTGGCTGGAGCGAGAACTGGAAATTTTACCTGTTTTCTTCTCTTGCCTTTGCTCTTTACTTTCTGTATTTGAAACTTTAGCAAACATGAATTGCGCGGAAGTGATTATGGCTTCGTTTGAGATGTCATTCTTCTTGTTTCTTAATGCAGCTTTTTAGTACAAAAATTATACTAAAAAACTGTTTTTAGAAGCAGTACGAAAATCATTCTAAACGAAGCCTATGTCACTATCACATTCATTTCTGTATCTTCTTAGGTATCTCAGCTTTGAAAGATTATCAGCCTTATGCGAGGATCTCTTCCAATTAAAGAAAAATAGAGGAGAGTTAGGTTTTGTTTGGGATGACTTTTTTACTACTTCTTAAACCAGCTTTCTAATACACAATTTTTAATTTTTGTATGGAGAGCTGATTTAAGAAACAATAAAAAAGCCAGTCTCAAACAAAGCCCTAGTCACCATAATGTTAACATGAGCACATATTACAAACATTAATCTAATTCATGATATCAAGAATTCTTAAGCTCATCATAATATTCTTACACTTTTTTTCTCATTTCATCAGTTGTCAAATATAATAAAGTCTTGGTGTTGTTTTGTTGTTGTATCAGTTGTCAAATATAATCCTTTTTTTTATTACATTTCATACAAAATGTTTGCATAGTTCCCTAATGAGCCTTCTCTGATTCTTCTGAACAGAGGCATACCAGAGTGGGGAATTGCAGGAACTATTGGAGAAGACAATGTGTTCTTGACAAGCTATGCCATGATACAAGTACCCTTTTTCAATCTGGTCAATCTATTCAAGAGAAAGTTTAGAAGCTATGTGAGTTTCATTTGGGACAGCTTTTTTAGTGCTTTTTAAAGTACTTTTTAGTGTAAAGTTATTTTAGAAAGTAGTAAAAAAATTATTCCAAACGAAATCCTATCATCATTATACTGTTCATCAACATCATTGGCCATCATCATAACTTGCTATCATCATCTTATGCAATATGTAATGGGAAAAAAAATCACTTATTGAATGTCAAATACTTTTTATTTTGTATAAAAAATATAAAGAAAATAAAAACATTAAGTGATCTCAAGTAGCCCTTTCAGCATCTGTTTGGGAAAGCTTTCTATTAACTTTGATTTTCAAAGCGCGCTCACATTGACATTTGGTTGATGGTTTTCAATACAGTTTCAATAAGTTCAACTTTCTTGAATAACTTTTTGATGATTTGGCTTACCATCCTATATCCTAAGGTGTCGTTTGGGATAGCTTTTTAGGTCACAATCATAATTTTTGCTGGGCCTAACTTTTTTGCTGCTTTCAAAAAAATTTTGCTTTGAAAAACTGCTTTCTATAGTAGTTTAAAAAAAATAATTTTTCTATAATAATTTTACAAAGCATTAAATAAGTTGTCCCAAATAAAATCTAAATCTAAGATTTAACAATTCTACCTGGTATATTTTAAAAAATAGAAGTTATTTGATCATTTAAAATAATAAATTTTTTATAGTAATTTCACAATCAATTTTACAAACAATTGCAGTGACTTCAAATAATCTCTAGGACCATATCCAACCGTTCGGCAAACAGCTGAATGGAGGTCCTCAAACGTTGCAACTGAACGTTATTTTTTTCGCCATTTGATCGCAGTTGAACAGTGCAACGCCAATATTGGTGTCGCACTGTTCGTCGCATTGTTCACTTGAGCCATTTCTTTCTCTCTACTGAACTCGTCTGAAAAAGGCGCGAAAGAAACGAGCGATGATTTGGGGGCAAAATGGCGTTCCACTGGAGATGAATCACGACACTTTATTTTACTGTATTTTGCATTGAAAAATGAGAATTTCGGTTGGAGATGCCCTAAGGCATTTGAAATAAAAAATTTTGATGCTTAGGTTTTTGCATATCATATTGGATTCAATATAATATTGTTCCTCGAATGTTTTATATTTCAAAAAATAAGTTTTTACAACATTTTGAAGCATACTTAGGTTTTGTTTGAGATGATTTTTTACAGCTTTTTAAAATAATTTTTTAGTATAAATTTTTTTATACTAAAAAGTTATTTTAGAAAGCAGTAAGAAAGCTGTCATAAAGTTTGGTTTCCTTCATTGCCCACTTAAATTATTATTATAACAGGCTGTTCAACATCGTTGGAATTGATAGAAATGGCTTCGGCTAGACGTAAAAGGGTTATCTCAATACATTTAGGAGTTTAGTTCAAGCAATTGTATTAGTTTATGGGAAATAAATAAGATTAAAATAATTATTAGGATAAGTTTTATAACTGTTAGATTTATTTTAAAATGAGCATAAAATATGACTAATTGAGGTTTTTATTTAGATATGGATCAAATTAGTTTTTCTGTGATATATTGAGGTTTTTATTTAAAAGTCAAATAAATAAAATAATTTTTTTAAAATAATTTAGGACTTTTTTTAGTCTTTCATGAGTAGTCAAGAGAGAGTTGAGATTTCTTACTGTTTTTTAAACAGCTTTTCAGGCTTCGTTTGTTTTTTTTGTGCTGTTGTAAAAGGCAGTTTTAAAAAATATTAGTTCTGAAAATGGAATTTTCTAACGGAGAAGTATATATAAAAAGCTTTCTAAAAATTGCAGAAAAATGAAAAAATGGATTTATTGGGAACGTGATTTGACGAACCAAAAAAAAATAAAAAATCCTCCGTTTCCAAACGGAAAAGGCAAAAAAAAAACGCTCAAACAGAAAAGCCTCAGTGTAATAAAAAACAGCTTTAGAAAGCAATAAAAAAATTTATTCAAATGAAGCCTAAATTGTCATTAAATTTCATGAACTTTCATTTATAGTGAGAGATAATGCCTATAACAATTAATGTGATTTGCTCAAAACCATAAGGGGTGAAGTTTGTAGATATCTAATTGGAATGCACTCAATTGAGTTGATTATAAAATCAAGGGGTAGGTTTGATATTTCTCTTCTCTAGATGAGATTGGTTGGTTGGCTACCAACCTCTCTTGTTTTTAAGAGGTGGGGTTGCATGCTGTTAGTCTGCCTTAATGATTTATTCTTGTTTTTTATAACTTTTTTTCCCTCATGTAGCTTCAGATGAGTCCATGAAATACAAAAAATTATATTTGGGAAAATATTGTCTTCGAGAGCATGATTCAGGCTTTGTTTGAGCTTTTTAATTCAAAAATTACAATTGTGTACTAAAAAACTGCTTTAAGAAGCAGTAAAAAAGTTATCACAGACAAAAACTTAATATTTTCTCTTGACATCATAGGGCTCTTTCCGAGCTCATAATCAAGTTGATTGGGTGATTGTATTTGGGCTAAATTATATGTTTTTTTTTTCTAAATAAATATTTTCTTAATTAGTTGTAGTTTGTTAAAAGAATACAATTATTATTTATTATTATAAGTAATTAATTATGTTATGTTTGATTAGGGGTGTCAAGTTTCGACCTGACCCGAAAGCAATCAAAATCCACAGATTTGCTCTCACTTTCCAAGTCCCCAGAGTATTGCGATAGAGGTTTCCTGTTCTTCCGTTAGAAGTCCGGCACGCGACCTGTTGGGAATTTCTACAATGCCAATAACCAAGAGATTGCTCCAAAAAAGGGATTTTTTTTATATCGCGGAAACTGAGAGGGAGAGAAAGTGCCAAGCTTGGCGTCGACTCCACTCCATGTGAGTTGCAGACAAGAAAGGAAAGATGAAAACGAGGTTGATAACTCAATCAACGCCGTCCATCAGAGGCTTAACGGCGCCGTTGGACTGAAACAATTACCTATCATTAATGGAGTATTTGGAAATAAATATAGGATTAATAATTTACTATGTAAGCCAAAGTTTAAAATTTTGGTTAGGGCTGCAAACGAACCGAGCCGAGCCGAGTATGTGAGTGTTCATGTTTGTGTTTGTTTAACATTAGCTTGTTCATGTTTGGTTCGTGTTTGATTCGAGCTTTATTATTTGTGTTCATGTTTGATTCGTTTAATTTAAGTGTGTTCATGTTTGGTTCATGTTCGTTTGTTTAGTGCTTATCGAGCTTTAAACGAGCTATGTTCGTGAACATATCTCGCAAACAATTTATTGAACAAGCAAACATTAAATTTGTTCATGAACATTCTAAACAAACAATCTAACAAACATGGACAAATATGAAATATTTCTTGTTCATGAAATGAAATTTCTAAAATAAAAGCAGTTGTATATTTAAAATGAAAATATGATTAATTTATATGAACATATGTTATAATATTTTATTACTTTAAAATTTATTAATAAAAAATAATTATATTATATTATGGTATAATTAAAGTTTTTATATTTAATCGAACTCAAATCGAGCTTTTTATCGAGCTTGTTCATGAACATCAACTGATGTTGTTCGCGAACACATACGAGCTGAACACATTAATGTTCAAGCTTGTTTATTTAAGAATCGAGTATTTAAAATATTGTTCAAGTTTGTTTGTTAGTTAATTAAACGATCACGAACGAGCTTTAATCGAACCGAACAACGAGTAGTTCGTCGAACGTTTGGTTCGCTTGCAGCCCTAATTAAGCTACTTAAATGTTGAGAAAATTAGTTATGATCAAAGGAATCTCCGATTTTTTTCATTATATCCTTATCGCATGATTATTATTGTTTGACTACCGTCGTCCAACCCTTGTTGCCTACTAACTGTCATCGCTTAACTATTGTCATCCCACTTGAACCAATTGAGACTGCCTAAGTTTACAAATTTTATAGCAAATAATGATTTAACATAGTTTGTGTGAAATATTTCCAATATTTTATAAGAATACGTCCAATGGATGGCTGACTTATTGTCTATATGGTGGACTATTGGCTTTGTAATCCATTTTCTCCGGTTGAGGAGAAAAGCATACTCCAATAACTTTACTGTTAGGGGTGTCAATATTTGACACGGCTTGAAAATTTGATCCGAGTCAGAACCGGGTAGGATTTGAGTTAGGGATTTATACCCGTTTGTAAAATTGGGACGAGTTCGGTTTGACCCGGAAATCCAAAATCAACCCGGTTTGACCCGTTTTTAATTGATTTATGATTTAGAATATTGTTTTGAAATAAGTAAATGCTATTTTCAAAAAAATAATGAACCATAATGCCCAAATGCCGAAAAATCGAACCATTTGTAAAAATGTGTCGGATTCAAGTCGGATTAAGAAGTGCATGGTCAGATTCGTGTCGGTAGAACCTGTCCCGAAATTCAATTTTGACAGCCTTACTTACTATTATAGGGGATTATTTTAACTAGATCAGATCTCATTATAATTTTTTTAAATGCATAAATTCGGGTATCATATAATCTTCTATTTTATAAATGCCTAATTAATAATTAATTAATTATATATATTCTTCTATTTTATGTCTATATATGTGCAAGATGTTCGTTCATCCAAAAACTCTCACTTCAGTGCTATCGATTTTATAACCTGCAATAATAAATGTCATCTTGCAATTAATTAATTAATTTATCAATTAATATATATAATTCTTTATTTTTAGTTATCATAAAAAAAATAAATTAAAATATACTCATAAATAATCTGAAGTTGATTGGGTGCACTTAGGCTTCGTTTGGGACGACTTTTTTATTGTTTTTTAAAACGGGGTTTTAGTTAAAAAATAAAAAAATTCGGAGTTTTAGAAAACAATAAAAAAGCCGTCCCAAACGAAGCCTTAGTCTGGCACAAAAATCACTCCATCAGATATTCATCTCAAACCTAGATTGCTATTAACGATGGTCTGAAAACTGTTGAAGCTTTGAAACTTAGAAATATTAATATAGAGGATATTTCTTGTCCTCTTTGTTATGGTCAGCCGGAAAATACCAATCACCTTCTGTTTGAGTGTGACTATTCTTTTCAACTTATTACTCTGCTCATTCCCCAATTTCAACACTTTTATTTGAGACCTAATATTGGTCAAGCTCTACATTTTATAAATGGGTTAAGCATTGATAAGGATACCAGAAATGGCACTCTGCTGATTTTTCATGCTGCAGTTTATTTTATCTGGAATGAACGAAACTCTAGGAAATTCAAAGGTAATGCTATTTGTGTTACTTCTCTTAAACGTAAAATTACCAGGGCTGTTATACTGAAGTTGAACAAATGGAAAAAGGGCAGTTTTTTGAAGCAAAAGTTAAACCTGTGCTACTGATGAGTTCTCATCTTGACTTGTGGTATTTTTCTGCTTGGATATTTGTCAGCTGACACGGAATTATTCTGGTACACGGAATTATTCTGGTTGGCTTTCGTCTGTGCTAAACTCAACATTAGCTGGTGGTTATTTTGGCTGGCCAGTAGCAAGTGGTTATTTCTTCTTTTTATCTGAGGAAATTTTTGGTTGCCTTTCACGCGTGTTGGTAACTCTATTCTGGTATGATGGGTGGCTTTTACTGGCTAAAAAACCTGTAGCTAGCAAAATCCTTTTGCTGGTCGGTAATCAAGAGAGAATTTTGGTAGATCAAACTCAGTCCCGATCGACTCTAGTGACGCCCCTTCATTGGCATGTTTTTGGGTCGTGGGCAATGATGAAGCCTGCTCTCTTCTTTTAGACGGTCTTCGGGCAACCAAAGGAGGATTGGATTTATTCTATAATCGTATTTTTATTCTGAGCCCAGACCGACAGAATTTTATTATGTCCAATTTTGTCTTCATTTCTTATCTCATTTTGTAACTATTGTTATAGGTTTTTCTTCTTAGCCTATTTTTTATGACTAAGTTTTTTTGATTCATTTTTGTAACCGTTTCTATTTTAATAGAATAGGCTCTGCCCTCAATTTCTCAAAAAAAGAAAAAAAGAAAAAAAAAAGAGTGGACTCAATTCCACATGCGTGCAACTAACTAATTATGACCAGTGAGATGAGTGACGTGTAAAATTAGTTACCTTAAAAGCATCTTCCTATTATATATACTAGTTTGAATTTTAAATAAAATATACTTTCATATAAAACGGGCATCAATAAAAATGTTCATCATTATTAATGAATAAAATTTATGTTAGAAAATTCTTATCAAAATTTAGAAATAATATATTTTAGGTTAAATTTATTATGAAAAAAATCTATATAATATAATTAAATTTAATATATTATATTTATTTTAAGCAAGTGGCGTGGTAGCCTTCGGGAGCCCCACCTAACTGGATAAGCCGTATTCATTCAATATATATATTTATACTGGAAAGTTGGAAGATCGAGGAAGCGTCGGTTGGAGTTAATGGGTTTCTCCGATGAAGAGCAGCGGCTCCTCACGCCACCGGAATCTAACGCAACCGGTGATGAGGAGAGCACGGTGGCGATAAGGGTGACGGCGGGGGCCGGAGCTGCTCCTAAGGATCGGTTCCACATCGCCTACATAGTGTACTTCACTCTGGGGATGGGGTTTCTCCTTCCATGGAATGCATTTATCACCGCTGTCGACTACTTCAGCTATCTGTATCCAGGAACGCCGGTCGATCGGGTCTTCTCGGTCGCTTATATGTTCTCCTGTCTGGTGCCCCTTCTTTTTATCGTCGGCTGGGCGCACCTTTCGTCGGCCGCCGTGCGGATTAACGTTGGCTTGGTCGCCTTCACCGCTGCACTGGTTGTTGTTCCGGTTCTCGATGCGGCTTATGTTCGAAACACCAGGGGGCTTTATGGCGCCTATGATGTAACCGTCGCTGCTACGGTTCTTGCTGGAATTGGGGATGCGCTCGTCCAGGGAGGTGTTATCGGATCTGCTGGAGAGCTTCCTGAAATCTACATGCAGGCCGTCGTTTCCGGAACCGCTGCTTCAGGTCATGATTTGACCTTGCCCCTTTTCTGAAGCTGGAAAGAAATTTTTGTGTTTTTCTCTCTCTGTGTGCGTGTGTTTTTTTTTTTTCTTTTGAAGATTTAATATAACGAAAATCAGTGATAAACATGACGATTAAACGGTTGGTAGGGTTTATGAGGGAAAATCGGGATCAATTTTGCCAGATATCGTACTTTATCGGTCGGTTAAGCTAACAGGAGCGGATGGAGACTATGGTGTTGAGGCTAATTTGGTTCAGCTTTTTTATTTTACCTTCCTGGGGTTTGCTTCAACAGCATCTACTGGATTGTCATTTGGCATATTGAATTGTGCCAAACCTTCTCGATCAACCTCCCAAAACAGTAGAGATTATTACGTGCGGAGTCCAGACCGGTCTGAGAACCTTTCGGTTTTGTGACTGTGGACTCCGCACTTAATAATTTCTCCCAAAACAGAAGCATGAATGCATTGTTGCAGCAAATGTTGACTGAGGAGGTTTTGGTTTAATTGAATCTTGGGTTTAGAATCAATTGTTTTGTTATTAAACTTTTGGGAACTTTGAAAGTTGTTCGAAAGGTAGCTGCTTTTCTGAACCTGTCTTCTAAATTATATTAATGAATTCACTTTTACAAGTTTGCATAAACTTCGGGGTGCACAAATGGTCCATTTTTAACACGTGTGATAATTAAAATGAACTTTTCAGCACATCACAAGTGTTTCTTTCATTTTTACCGAAGCATAGAATTCGGAAAGGTAGAGTTAAGATATGATTAGAGAGAGTCATCTTCAATGGTTTGATCACTTAAAATGTCGGCCCTTCGTTGACTAAGTTAGAAGAGTAGATGTATTATGTATGGTTATTGTTAAGAAAGGTAGAAGTAGACCTAAAAATACTTGGTTGGAAAGTATTAGAAATGACTTTTTTTTTAATTAGATTTAATTGAGAATTTGACTTTTAATCGAACACAATGGAGAATTCATGTAGTTGACCCCATGTAGTGGGATAAAAGTTTGATGTTGTTGTTGTATAGAATTCTGAATCATGCTGTTTATTTAGTTGCTAAAAGAGATTTTGTACCCAACTCCCTTTTTTGGTATGGTGTGTAGCACACCTTTGCTGAAGATTAAGATGTAGAGGTGTAGTAATGTGGACTGAAACAAGATATCTGGGCAAAATGTTAAAACTTCTAAGAATTGAAATTTAACTTTTCATTTTCCTCATCATTATTTTATCCCAATCTTTTGAGGCTGGCTTTAAAAATCATAATTTTTACTCATTTCTATTAAGTGCTGTATGAGATGTTAAATTTATTCCTCTTATATATAAGAAGCAAAGTATAATTTCAATTATTTAGGCAAGGTGCAAGGTAATGCACAACTACACTGTACCTTTTGCTAGTGGTTTGCATAAAATGAACACTTGGCCATTAAAGCTTTTGACAGTGTTGCCTATCAGGGAATTCGTGAAACATGAGATATTTGTACCCAAAAAGGAAAAGAAAAAAAAATCAAATTTCAAGAACATGAGATATTTGTGTCAAAAACCTTGCAGGTACTACTATACTCTAAGTAGAACGTGAGATATTTGATAATAGATCCTTGAATGCTTCTCATGTCTTCTATAATGCTTCTAATACCCTTCCTCATTTCTCTTAGCTTGGGTTAAAAAAGGTTTAGGGAGAGAGAGGTGTTATGGCTGTAGGCTTGGAGACATGTTTGTAAGGTTTGATCGAATTTGGAGAGAAGCAGAGATTCAATATGCCATGTTTCAAAATAATTTCATTGAATTATTGAATGCTTGGAACCTCTCTAGATGCTCATTAGTAGTCACAGACTTCAATTACATAGAATAACCATGATAATTGATAAGATTTATTTCTTTATCATAGGCATGGGATAAGTAATCACGTAGGATAACTCCCTTATCTTAGTAACTCCTTTTCTTATTGGACAAATCCTTAAAAACAGTCTCTCCTCCTTTTGTCATGCCACATGAGAAAAGGAAGAGAGAAATTAATTGCTTTTTTTTCGAAGTTGTCCTGTAATCAATTTGATCCACCCATATAGCTTGGCTATTAGTTAGCCAAGCTCAAGTTGCAAGGAAGAGTCTGCATGATCAATTATTAATTTCTCTTGCTGTGTCATTGCTTTGATCTTGTGGTGTATTTACCATTTGTGCTCAATACTTTTTCTTTGAGAGTTCATACTTCTTATCTTGAGTTTAATATTTTACCTATTGTACAGTGATTATAACTTTTTTTTACTTGTAATTACAACAAAACTTCCTTTGCATCCTTTGTTTTGAAATTGATTTGGACCATATTGCATGTTTATGTGCAACAATATTTCCCTTTTCTTCATTTGAGGTTGCTAGGGGTATTAATCCGTGTTAGTAAGCTGTGTTTGCATTTGATCCAAAATGATCATACTTGAACTCGACCCATTTAATAATCTGGTTGAAATTTTCAATTCCAAATTGACCATTGAAACTTGAATGTAACCCAAATTGGCATAAGTGGTTTAGATGTGTATGAGTTTGTGTTGACCCTCCGTTAAAAGGACATGGGGACCCAAATTGCCTACTCCAACATGAAAAAGATAGTTAGCTTACTATTACTTTTGGTTTTCTTGGAAGGATAAAACTAAACCTCATTAGATTGGTTGACTTTGAATCCCTCCACTGGTTGTTCAAATGGGGGTGACTTGAAACCAAAATTTACATGTATGTTTCAAGCCATGCTGTCATGTTTAACTGCAACTTTACACTTCTAAATGTTGACATTCATGCTTTTATTTTCATTTAACATTTAATGCATTAGAAAATACTGATATTTGATTTCATTTTGGCTAAGGTTTCTCTAACTTTTTTTTTTTCAAAATTTTTAGATGTTCTGTATTTTTGTAGACTTCTTTTTTCTGATTTAGATTTATAACAATGATAGTTCTTTGATTGTGGATGGACAATTAAATGAAATATCATGTAGGTGTATGCATTAGCAGCATGCATTCAATTATGTATGTTTATATGCATACAAACGTATATAATACTGTTTTTTTTTTTTTAAAGTATTCCGGAGGATATTATTTACCAGAAGTGCTAGGCTGCTTTTGTGGTGACCTGCTTATTTTATAACTCCATGCAATCTCAACCCCCACATAAAACGTTGTAGTTTTTATTCTTGTATTTTGCTAGTCTCTGCCTAAAACTAGCTCTAGCGCTTGTCTCTTCATTGCCATCCAACTATCTCAAATCCAAGGTAGAAACGTGCAAAGCGGGCCTTATTATTGAAAAATTATATTTATAGTTTTTCAATTATTTCATTAGATATATAAAATAAAATTTTCGGCTTCTTAAAATAGATTCTGATGCTTTTTAAAAATCTTGTAACTGGAGGTGAGTGATCCCTACAAAGAGACTGTAAAGAGAGGGAGAGAGATTAAAGTGATAAAGATGGGTGTTAGAGATTAGGAATAATGTTTTTGTCATAGCTGAGTGGGGAGGGAGACTGTTAGATAGAGAATAAGCGGGAAAGTGAGAGGGGATGCTGGATGGGCTGTCAGAATTATATCTGAAGCACCTTTGTTTGGGTCAAAACTGGTTCGGTCTTGGGTCTAGAGAGTGCATTGGGAGGGAAGATAGAGAAGGGAGCGCTAGGAAGGTGCAAGTCAAAGACTCGGATACATAAGAGAAAAGAGGGGAGGGGGGAGAGAGAAAGAGAGAGAGAGCATACATAAACTATTCAACACAATTAAACATGATTATTAAATACTATAGGGCTGCTATTCATAAAAATTGGCCTATGTCTAGAATGACAATGCAGAGAAGAAATTAATAACAACATCAAGTCTTTATCTCATTATGTGGGGATTTTCTAGTAGAGCATAGTGATATAAAAGAATATAATTTTTGTTATCTTTATTTTAACTATTTATATATTTGAATTTGATAGATTTAATCATTCATGAATATGAATTGAGTTAGTTCCAATGCACAGAAGGTAAACAAAAAGATGTTTGTGTTAAAGATTACAACAACAACAACAAAAACATCAAGCCTTTATCCCACTAGGTGGGCTAAAGATTATCTTTGGGCTATTAAGTAATGGAATTATTCAAAATAATTTTTATATCTTGATATAACTAAGAAAAGAAAAAAATAATAGTTCTTAAAAATGCTCCATTTGTATTTTGTAGCAGTAAGGCTGTTGACTAACACAACTCCCCTTGGCCTATTGGTTGAGAGCTTAGGCTTCCAATTAAGAGGTCCAAGGTTCCAGTCCATGTGTATGCGTTGTGTGTGTGAGTTTGCCTTAAATGGCCTAAATGTCCCCAAAAAAATTAATAAAAGTTATAATTAATACAGAGTTTTAGGTAGAGGGAACATTATCAAACATAAAATATAACCTACAATGCATCTATGTGATCTAAAGGATAAGATAAGAGAGTGTATATTTCTTCTAAAAAAAAGGAATGGAGAAAAAGGATTCATGTAGCCGACCCCACGTAGTGGGACAAAGGCTTGATGTTGTTGTTGTTGTATTAAAAATTCAAACACATCTAAGCTGAAATTGTAAATCAACAACATGAAAAATCAAAACAATTAAAATAACTGCAAGTACTTCATATTTATTTATTAATTTATCTTTAATATGTTTTTTATTGTTAAAATTACATGCTTATAATTTAGAGTTTGTGCTACCAAATTTAGTGTACATGCAATCCGAAGTTATTCATGAATGAAATAAAAATAAATGATTTCTTTTAAAAAAAATTAACAGAATTATAAAGCGGCAATGCCTAAAGTTGAAACAATTAAAATTATTGAAAGTTTAGTACTCATCTTTATTAATTTATTAATTAAAATATCATTGTTGTAAATTACATGTATAATTTTGAGCTTAATATGACAAGTTTTATGGAATAGCATTGCCATTTAACTAGTATTATTGATGGAGACCATGCATTTTTTGGGCGGATTTTATTTTATTGGAATATCAAGCACCATTTTAATAGTACCATCAATAAAAAAATAAATGTGTGCTCATTATTAAATTTGGGCAATGTCAAGTTCTTAACATAGATTAGAAATAGTCATAGAGTGACCTAATGATTTTTAATTCCATTAGGATTACCTGAACGATCAACATTAAGTTTATATCTTTTTATATTTTTTAGAGATACTTATAAAGGATATTGAAGAAAAATGCCTCAATATATGCTTTTATCAAATAATAGTTTTAATCGAGGAGATTATTATCATAAATGATGAAAATTTATATATATACATATAGTGAATGTGATATTAACATCTTTAAAACCCCGCGAGACAAATTGAAATAAGAATTCATAAACCTGATCCAAAATAGCAGGATAAGATTGATGATGATGATAAGGAATCACAAAGATTTTGATTCTAACTTCTAAGGATATAATCACAATATGAATGGTTACTTCTAGTCCATTTTTGAAATCCCTTGATGTCCCATTTTAACTTCCGCAACAAACCTCACCACCTCCTCCCTCTTAGCTGCTTAAAAACACAATTATTTATGTTTTACATATCTCGGGTTTATTATTCAAAGTGATGGTGAAATAGATGGGGATATTATTTGTAGACTTCAAGTTGGATAGTTGAAGTGGAGGAATGCATTGGGCTGTTATGTGATAGGAAAGTACCCCTCAAACTTAAGGGAAAATTCTATATGCTAAAATCTGCAATGCTTTATGGCATTAAAAGAGAAGCATAAAATTAAGTTAAGTGATGTAGGTATGAGGATGCTCAGGTGGATAGTGGCTTCACTCTTATAGGTAGAATGCGAAATGAGTATATACATGAAAAGGTTGGAGTAGCTCCAGTGACAGATAAGATTAGAGAGAGTCACCTTAGATGGTTTGTTTGCATAAAACATCGGGTTTTTGATTACTTGATTAGGAAATTACATATTAGATTTGACCTAAATAAAAAATTAAAAAAAAAAATAAAAAAATAAAATGTATTAGATTTGACCTACCTCAAGAAAGGTAGAGGTAGAACTATAAGACTTGGTTAGAAAATATTAGAAATGATATTTTTTATTATATTTAAATGATAATTTGCCTCTTAATAGGGAACAATGGAGAAAAAAGTTTCATGTAGACGAACCCACATAGTGAGATAAAGGTTGATGTTATTGTTAGACCCTTTTTATTTTAACTGTAGTTTTCAAACCATGTTTTTAAGGTAATACTATTTTGTATTTTTTACAAGTTATCATTTATCTAGTTTACCTGATTTTCATGATTATTGTAATTAATTTTCCCTAAATCATACCCTATAATATTTAGTTAGAGCTACTTATTATTTGTTCTCTATCGATTTATCTCCAGGAGTGCTTGTTTCTGCATTGAGAGTCATATGCAAATCCATCTATCCACAAGATAGCACTGGATTAAGAAACAGTGCTAACCTATACTTCGCAGTTGCTATAGTAGTAATGCTCATCTGCATCATATGCTACAATATGGCTGAAAAGCTTCCTGTTGTCCAATACTACAAAAACATCAAATTGCAGGCAATAAAAGAAGAGAGAGATTCCAAAATGCTAACTTTAACTGGTTCTGCCTGGAGATCAACTTTGTATAATATTTTTGGAAGGATCAAATGGTATGGCTTTGGACTCTTCCTCATGTACGTTGTAACCCTTTCAATATTCCCAGGATTCATTACTGAAGATGTCCACTCCGAAGTCCTCAAGGATTGGTACCCCATAATCCTAATTGCTGGATACAATATTTTTGATCTGGTGGGGAAGGCTCTGCCCGGAATTTATCTCTTACGGAATGCTAATGTTGCTGTAGGCGCCTGTGTTGCAAGGCTCCTCTTCTATCCTCTGTTCTTTGGCTGCTTGCATGGCCCTCTGTTCTTCAGGACGGAGGTACCTGTGACAATTTTGACGTGCCTTTTAGGCCTAACAAATGGGTATTTTACTGCTGTTGTTATGATTCTTGCTCCTAAGGCTGTGCCAATACAACTTGCTGAGACTGCAGGAATTGTTATGGTTCTATTCCTTATCATTGGTTTAACAGTAGGGTCAGTAGTGGCTTGGTTCTGGGTTGTTTGATTGCTTTCAAGGTGAACCTAAATTTGCTTAATCTGTTTTATAAATTTGAGGTCAAATGTATAATATTGTCAGCTTAAGAACGTGTTAAATTAATAAGGATCTGTTGATCTGCTTCAGATTTGATTGTTTTGCTTGTGCTTATGTTGTTTTCAGTATGAACTGTTGCTTTTATTGTATTTGTGTCTGATATTATGAAAATTTGATTGATTGCTAGTTTAGGGTTTATTTTGAACAATGGTTCATTAAGTTAATATCAAATTATTAGAATAAGACTAATGATGATGATGATGTTGATGATTTCAGACTTATTTTTCAGATTGCCGTGATATTCTCATAGCATGATGATGGTCATGGGTCAGGTTCGGGTTAAACCCGAAATTGATTCAACACAAGTTGGTCTGACTTGAACCCAATTTGTTTTTTTCAAGCGTGTCAGATATTTCAATCAGGACCCGACCCGCGCGTTTACATGTTCTCATTCAGGCATCGCCGCTGCTATATAGCCGGCAGCGACATAGCAGCGGCGATGCGGGTGGACTCGATGCGACACAATCACATGGGCAAACGCGACGCAATCACATGGGAAAACACGACGCAGGCCGAGCTGTTAGTGGGGGAGCTCAACGCGGGCAGACGTGACAACGACGTGACGTGGTCACGTTGGCAGACAAGACGCGGGTAGAGTGGTCAACGCGGGCATGACGGACACTCAAAGTGGGTAGAGCGGTCTGTATGGTTGTTCTGGTTACTCCGAGTCATTCCTTGGTTTCCAGGTCAATCTGAACCTGACTTGATTTTTAAAACTGGTTGGTTTGTTGAACCCAAACCCGACCCATTTCACAAACAGGTTGACCATAACTCGGAATTTTCGGGTCCCGTTCAAGTCGGATTTTCAGACCGTGTGTCAAATCTTGACACTCCTACTTGAGATAATTGATTCAAATTTCAATGCAGTTCATGATAATATTTTTGAGAACTGCTGCATTGCTACATTTATAGCCTTAAGAATGCCGTGATGTATTGCAAAATTGAGCTAAGGTTTTTTTTTTTCTTTTTTTAAGTTATGAGTTGGAGCAATATGATATTTTTAATTAAAAAATAGGCTAAGATATCTTAAAGAAAATTTATTTGTATTTTAAATCTTTTAAAATAATTTAATTATAAAAATAATTGATTATTTATGTATTTTAATTAATTCAAAGTTTTATATCAGATGTAGCATATTTTAAAAATATTTTCACATTTTTAGGGCTCAATCATACCAAAAAATATAAGAAGAGCCAACACTAACTAAAATTGTTGATAAAATGGTTCACCTAAGTTCATGGATTTGATGGCTTGATAGCGCTTGAATTTAGGCTTCGTTTAGGATAGTATTTTTATTATTATATTTTTAAAAAATAACTATATTTTTTTTTTTATTACTATTATAAAATAATAAGAAAAATTCACTAGTAATCTACTGTTAATGTTTTTCACAATTATTATGTGACATTTATACCATAATCTATTTTACTGTGTTTATTTTTCAGCAAAAAAACATTCACATAATGTTGTAAGATTATATTAGATTTCTTTCATTAAAATTATTTTATCATTAAATTTTATTATGATTGTATCCTTGCAAGTTCAGCATAATTGTGAAAGAGAATATTTGCATTTAATGAAAATTTTATTTATGGTTTTCTTTTTTTATTATGGAGGTATTTATTATGCTAATTTATTTTATAAAAATAAATTTTCATCTTTATTTTAGTATTATTAAGTTTAAAAATTATTATTAATTTTAAATAACAATTAATTAAATATTTTTTCTAATTGGAACAAATTTTTTTTACCATAATAAATCCCAAAATTATTAAATATTCTGTATATATAAATATTTAGATTAATTTTTCATGTACTTATTCATTTTAAATTCCTTTTAATATGTTTTCTTCATCACAATAAAGAAAATCTCCCACCAGTGGAGTATTGCCAACGCAGCGAGCGAATCGATCCACGCCACGTCATATATTTAACCAAATTTTTATTTTGAATTTAGATTTTATATATATTTCGGTATTCTGATTTCACACTCGCTGGAGAAAGAAGAGGGAGAGAGAGAGAGCGAGAAAACTCGCAGAGAGCAATACCATCCTTCCCAGATCGTCAATTTACCCTCAGGGAGCTTCAATTTAACCGAGCATCATCAACTCTAATGGGTAAATCTGCTACTTCGTTGGTTGTATGCCTTCTTCTGTCGTTTTATCCGTTGGCGGCGGTGGCGGCGTCGGCCACGGCGGAGGATCGGGCGAATAAGTCCTCTACGCCCGGATTCCTATGGTCCACCGCTAAGGAAAAGAGCGATCTTCTGGCTGCAATTGATCCCGACGATGATTACGCTGTGGATGGGGATGCTTCTGGCGAGTTCGCCGGAGGATTCTCCTCCCTTGAGGGCATGTTGCAGTGGGCCATAGGTATTTATTTTGTTCTGTTCTTTTGTCCTTTGACTCCTTTCCGTTAGGAGTGGGCAACTAAACCATGCTTTCAACTTTTATAAAAGAGCAAGGTTTTGGGATTTCTAATATCGTTGGTCCTAATCAAGTAGCTTCCACCCACGTTTCTGCCTGAGGAGAATCTTAGGTTATAAAACTGTTGTTTTGTGCTTTAATGATATCTTAATCCGTTAGTTCAAGTGTTAACTATCACTCTGCAGATTTGATTTTGTGCGCGGGTGTTCTAAACTTGATAAGTATATTGAAGGAATTTTCATTTTATTTAAGTCATCTCTAATTTATACTTTGTGAGTTATTTATCAGTCATTTATTCTCCAAATTCTTGATTCAGCAATGGCGAGTTTGTTGCATGCTGGAATCTCATACACATAGTTACCTATCTTTCATGCATATCAAGGAAAGCGTCATGAGAACTTTATTTTTATAATCATGTAAAGCTGAAGTTTGCATCCATGTGCTTTCTGTCATAATTATGGTGAATTTGCTATTCCACCTAAAAGGTACTACTGCACTAACCGTCGGAAGTTCAATTATGACAAAATAAAAATGCCTAATCGACATATCTATTATATCTTTATTTTAGAATTACTAGCTACTAAAGCATAATTAATTTTAAACGGGCAAAGGTAATGTGACATATATGATTTAATGCTCTTTAAGTGAAAAAAAAAATCTGGATTTTTTTCGCTTAGATGGTGTTCCATGAATTGATCACATCTGAAGTTTTATGATTTTAGCTTAAAGTGAATGATTTTACCCCTTTTCTAAGCTGCACGGAGATTTTAGAAGTCATAGAATGCATGGAGATTCCAGTTCTTAATTTTAAAATTTAATAAATCATGAATACTTATGTTAAGGTATTTGTACTTGGAATATTCCTGCTTGTACAGACTGGGATTGTAAATTAGATAGTGAAGGACTAGACATCAGTTTGTTAATATATGTATCATGGAATAATTTTACATGCTAAACTTTCTCATGAAATTTAATAGATTAAAATTCTTTAGCACAAAAAGAAAAAAACATTTTTTTGAGGAAACATAAAAAGTAAAACTGTAAAGTATATGTCTGAAATTAGAAATATGAACAAAAAAAAACATTTTGAATTTTTTTACTTTTTTTTTTGTACAAGAATTGTTAGTTTATGTAGGTTTCTCCAAGGGTGTTACATATGTAAATAGATCAATGGTGATTACATGAAATAAAATTAAAAATCCTCGGGTTGGGGTGGGTGGATTGCGATTATGTGAAGGAGAGGAGCACACAAACTTTGGTACGGGGGTTATGAGGAAGAAGATCCAATGGCTAAGCTACTTAGTCTGTTTGGATAAGGATCAATATTATGATTGGTAGTGGAACCCATGCATTCCAGGAAATAGCTATTGGCGTGACGTTTGAAGGAGGCTGAGGAGTGGGTCCCCACAGTCTTCAACATAGTATATTCTGTTAGGTCACACAATCAATATTTTTATGATTTTTATTTTCTCACACTAGTAGCAGGAGTGATGAAATACTTTGAATGTAATAAGGGAAACTTACACATTCTTGGAGCTTTGATTTTGAGAAAGCCTTGCTTTTTGATCCTCTCAAATGACGCAGCATTTTATAATCTTCCATGTCTTGATTGTAAGTTTCCTGCACATCATGCAAATAGTGAAACATGGATTTCGGTAGCTGATGAAAGGGCATTACTTCAAAGGGCACTAAATTGAACTTTAAAATGTCAAAGAGCTTCATCCTGAGCTACTGCCTTAGGTGGTTGACTAATGAAGCTAGAAAAGTGGAATGTTTTCTTGGCATTTTTTTGTGCATGCTTCACCATTTTCAGGCATTTGCTTTAATAAAGTTGATTCATCTATATACAATTGATGGGGACATCAAAGCATGGACATTGTATCAGAGGCGTGGCCGTCGATCTACGGCCAAGATCAAGGCGATGTACTTTTGAGTCATTTCATGTATTTGTCTTTTATTATGTTATTTATCTTTTATTATTTATGTTGTAGTTGTTTTTCCGTTTTTACCTCTTACTTATGGGAGGTGGTATGTAAGTCCTGAGGGTATTGTCGTCTTTCTTATTTTGAGTCTTATGTACGAGGCTATTTATAGTCCGTATATTTCTCTTTGAAAGTTAATGATTGAATGATAAAAAAATTTTGTGCTATTGCTTGAGTTCTTGAGAGATCTTGAGAGTGCGTGGAGAGAGAGCGAGATCCCTAGGAGAGGAAAAATGGATCACCCACCAACCATGGAGACGGCCGGGTTTGTGGTTTGTTTTATCGTTCTTTTCTTTCAATCTCTCTTCCTCTTAGCCGCCGGATGTCCTAGCCACCCCACCTTGCCGCCGGCCAACGTCTCCCACCACCACCACCTCAAGCTACCACCCTCCTTCCCCCACTACAACCACCGGCCTGCTTACCCAAAGCCCCACCCCACCACTGGCCCTTCATCCAACCGAACCCAAGCCCAAGCCTCCCCCTTCCCCCTTAGCTTTTTCTCTCCATCCTTGCTTACATTCATTCCTTTCATAATTGGATTGATTAATTTAGGTAACTCATTAACTTATCAAATTCAAATTATTTGAATTTGAAAAGTTACATAAAATATCACTCCTATTTTAGGAAACTTTTCAAATCCTTGCTTATTGAATTAAAGTTAAATTAGGAGGAAATATTTCATCCTAAATTTAAGTCCATGACTTAAAGAAGTATTAATAGCTTCCTTAATTTCTCTTCCAAATCCATAGTTGCCGGCCCCCTTTGGGTTCTCCATTAATGCTTGCAATTACAACCTTCCTAATTGGATTTAAATATTTGAGGTAACTCAATTAATTTACAAATTCAAATTCATTTGAATTTAAAATTATTACCTAAAATACAAATCCTAATTTAGGAAAGTTTCAGCCCTTTAGATTTTAAAATTATTTGGGAATTAATTAAGCCTTTTCTAATTTAATAATCCCAATTAAGAAGGCGTGAATTTATTTCCCAAACCTTTCCCTCTCTTTCTACATGCCGCCGGCCCCCTTAATGGGTCCCACCTCCTAATTTTTCGAGGATCATTACCTTCAACAATTCAACGCGTGGGAGAAATTTCTTTCTCTCCAAGTAAACCTTCAAAGGAAGCTACGAAGAATGACCTCATCCTCTCAACGACTTGTTTCCGGATTTTGACAAAGGTGAACATTCTTCCTCTTTTTAATTAACTCTCTAATCCCCTCTCATTGTAGGTGATGATGATTCTCAAGGAGCCGAGTTTCACCTTTGCCTACGCTAGTAAACGTAGGGCTTTGCTTCTTCATTGCCAGCCTAGTAAACGTAGGATTGAGTGCACTTCATTTGTTTCTAATCTTATTGTTAGATTAGGGATTTTCATTGAAATCTATTATATTTGCATGTCGTTGATTTTCTTTGTTATTTTGATAATTCAAAGCTCTTATTGTGCAACTTAGCCTAAACGGAACTGATCGCTCTTACGTTTTATTTGCTAGTAGTTCTAATCTTTATTATTCTAATCAATAAGTCGTGTAAGTTCTTATCAAATTGCTTTAAGCATTGTAATCCTACATCAACAATTTTGGTATATTTTATTGATATATTTAATTAAAGCAAAACAATCACTGTAAATATGGTTGAGAAAACAATGATGATAATCTAGGAAGTTCCATGGGATACAATCAACGCCATATTTTCTATGGAAATAATTTGTTGCATATTTTATTGTTGTGCCAATTTTGTTATGTAATTAGATTTTTTGTTTTCCTCTTGTCTCCATGATGATACAAGAGGACGTTATCGTTGGTTATGTGGAGCTATGTCAATCTATTTATTTGTTTTGTTCCTCATACTAAATTTTTGATATGATTCAGGCCATTCTGATCCGGAGAAGTTGAAGGATAAAGCAAATGATGCTCAGAGATTATCTCCAGCTGAGCTGAACAAACGTCAATTAGAAATAAAGGTGTCCTTTGTTCTCCTGCTTTGGTTCTTTCCATTAAATCAAAAAGCTTTTCGAACAGTCAAAAAGTGAGGAATGGGATGTTGTTAGTGGCGGCACTTGATCTTGTTCATTACTAATTAGAATTTTCATTAGGATGCATGAACTGTCAAATGTTTAGCACAATTTACAGAATGATGGATAGCTTTCCATCTTGGGTTTTAATAGTCTTATTGAATAGGAAGTCTAATGCTCATTTCCAATATTTCATTGTAATCCATAATTGCCACCTCTATTTTTCTTTTTTCTATGTAAACGGGTTTATACTTTTTCTTTTTTAGTGGTCATATTTTGAAGAGTAGATGTATTATATTTGGCCTATATTAAGAAAGATGGACCTAAAAATACTTGTTTAAAAAAATTAGAAATGACCTTTTTTTATTAGACTTAAATAAGAATTTGACTCTTAACATGAAATAATGGAGAAAAAGGATTCTGTTAGACCGGTCCATTGGACCGGTCTAGCCGGTCCACATGGGACCGGCCCAGGCGCTAATAGAGGCAGAAACCTCCGCCTCCTGTACACCTGATCGGACGCCCAAGCAATGTAGAGCAGTTTAGGAAGTTTTTTTAAGAATGTTTAGGAGGGAAATTTGAATGTAGTGATTGTTTAGAGATTTCCTTTTGAATTGTATGCATTAAATAGTTTGTTTTCCTAGGGATAGGGCATCTTGAATTTGGCTGAAATTTGAGATATCCTAGATTTAGGTTTTCCTTTGGGCTCTAGCAGCATCTAGAGATTGGGAGAGATCGATCCTCCTCTCAAATAGAGAATCAAACTAGCTTGGTATTTTTTGCTTCCTTTTCATTAAATAATCCAAATTATCAGCTGTTTTCATGGTTTTGTGTGATTTTTGTGGAGAAATCTTGCTGTTTTTCGAAGATTGATAGGAAATACTCAAGATCATTAAGTGTTTCCTATCATATTGGTATTAGAGCATGTCGATTAAAGGGGAACCAATAGCCAGAAGGAAAGTGAAAGTTTTGAAGGGAGAACTTTGTCAACTCAAAGTAGATTTTGAGGAAAAGATTGCTGATTTTCATAATCAGATTGCATCCGTCAATGAAAGGATGGAGGAAAAGTTCGCAGTGGTGGAAGACATGTTGAAGAAATTGCTTGAAGCCTAAACCAAACCGGTGACATCAGAAGCAAAGGAAACTATCGGCGGCCATGGAAGTCATGGGAACTCTTACACGTCTAGGGGAAGGGTAAATCAAGAAGTGGAGATCCTGGAGGGAGAAGACAGAATGCCTCCTCTATAACCACTTTCTAGGGAGGAGATGAGCATTGGCTACGCAAGGAGTGCTGAATTTGTAAGGAGAGGGGATGATTTAGATTGCCGGTGTGCTGATTTTGAAAGAAGAAGAGGGGATTTTGATGAATGGTTTGGTTATGATTGCTGGAGGGAGGTTATGAAGGATTTAAGAGAAACGGGTGTGACCCGAGGCTGAGGAAATTGAAGATGCCAATCTTTGAGGGGGAGGATGCGCACAAGTGGATCTACAAGGTTGAAAGATATTTCGTCGTTAATGGATTGACGGAGGAGGAGAGACTAACGGCAGCAGGCCTATGTTTGGAGGGGAAAGCATTGGCTTGGTACCAATTGATGGACATGCGACGACCCATACGGAGTTAGAGGGAGTTCAAGGATTGTTTGATAGAGCATTTTTGAACCGGTAGGGGAGGAGACTTCTACGAACAGTTCTTTGCCTTGACGCAGGATGGTTCAATGATAGAGTACCGGGAGAGATTCGAGTACCTTGCTAGCCGATTGGACCACCGTTTTGAGATAGTGTTTGAGGGAAATTTCATGAAGGTATTGACACCAAAGATCCAGACAGCGGTTAGAGTAATGAGGCCTCGTGACTTGGGAGAGGCTATGGAACTAGCTCAGTTGGTAGAAGATCAGAGGCACCTGGAGAGAGAAACTGGAGGCAGTAGCTCAGAAGGCTCGTATAGGATGACAACCACCTTTTTGGCACCCAAGTGGCCAACATCAGGTACTCTTAGGAAGACTTCAAAGGAGAAGAATATCGGAGGAAGACCTGAGGACAACTTCAAGAAACTCACATAAACATAATTACAAGAAAAGAGGGCGAAGGGGATCTATTTCAGATGTGACGAGAGGTATACGCTAGGGCACAGGTGTAAGGACTGAACTCTTCAGGTTATTACCGTTTGCGATGAAGAAGGAATGGAGGAGTTTGTCATCTTTCCACCTTGCGGACAAGGTGGATCTTTTGAAGGGGAGTATTGTTAGATGGTCCATTGGACCGGTCTAGCCGGTCCACACGGGACCAGCCTAGCCGCTAATAGAGGCAGAAACCTTCGCCTCTTGTACACCCGATCGGACGCCCAAGCAATATAGAGCAGTTTAAGAAGTTTTTTTTGAGAAAGTTTAGGAGGGAAATTTGAATGTAGGGACTTTTTAGAGATTTCCTTTTAAATTATATGCATTAAATAGTTTGTTTTCCTAGGGTTAGTGCATCTTGAATTTGGTTGAAATTTGAGATCTCGTAGATTTAGGTTTTCCTTTGGGCTCTAGTGGCGTCTAGAGATTGGGAGAGATTGATCCTCCTCTCGAATAGAGGATCAATTGTATATTGGTTTTTTTTTCTTCCTTTTCATCAAATAATACAAATTATCTACTGTTTTCATGGTTTTATGTGGATTTTTGTGGAGAATTCTCACTGTTTTCCGAAAATTGATTGGAAATACTCGAGATCATCAAGTACTTGCTATCAGATTCATGTAGCCGACCACACATAGTGGGTTAAAGGCTTGGTGGTGGTGGTGGTGGTGTAGTGGTCATATTTTGATTATTTTTAGGTTTTGGATCAGCCAAATATAGTATCTAATTTCTAGTGTCATAGATAGCTCAACCTGAATGGTCTGCCCAAAAGGGTCAACGAATACGGATTTTTTAGGTCTCATTCATATCCATTTGGCAGTTAGGTCTCATATTGACAACACTAACAAGATAATATCAATGGACATAGTTTATGAACTTAGCTTAATTTTTTTGGAGAGTACAATGGAAATTCAATAGAATTGGTTTTGAAACCCTCTTTGAATTTAATAGGAATTCTATGTGATTTCATAGGGTAAACCACATGAATTGACTTCTTTTGGGCAAATTATTATGTGTGGATGTCGAACGATGTCCATAGACCAACTAGAATGCGTCATGTCACCCCCCCCGCTCGGTATCGTGGCTCGATACAGCACTCGATACCGCTCGGTACTGCTGACGTGTTACATTATGATTGGTCTCCGGACGGTGAACTGCGTTCGGTGTCTGCCTAGAATAATCTCTCCTTTTGGAATGTAAATTATAGTCTATTATTGAACCTAAGTCTACGTATAAGGAGTAAAATTGCTCAATACTATAATAATTTTGATTTATTTCATCGCGCTGTAAACTTGCTATTTTTTTCTCATAGTTTTCACTTTTTGATTTGATTTTTAAGCACTTCAAATCTGGCTTACCTGTAATTCAGGAGAAAATGCTTTGAATGATGTGAAACGTAAATGCCATGTACTGGCCTAGGTGACAAGATTAATTAAATCCCAAATCAATTTGGGGAGAGAGAATGGAAATCTGAAATTAAATTTCAGGTTAAGTGGAATTGCCGGGATGAATTTGAATTTAAATTCAAATTTAATGGGGAGAATTAAATTAGATGAGAGGGAATTGTGGGAGGTAATTATGGAGGCTTAATGAGGGGGCCTATTAATGAGATAGGAGAGAGATTATGCCCAATGAGGGGGCCGGCCACATAGAGAGAGGGAGGAGATTATTTGTCATAAGTAGAGTACGTGGGGCCCACATTACTAATCAAAGATTCAATAAAATCTAAATTAAAATTCAGATTTTGAAAGAAAGGAAAATTTCCAATAATGGGGCTATCAATTAGAATTAATTGGAATTTCAAATTCAAATTCACATCCAATTAATATGAAAGCCTTAAATCAAG